AGCCATATGGACCAGATACTGTGAATTCACACTCTTAAATATTTATGCCCTATACATTCCAAGAAATCAATTGTGCCATTATCGGAATGTGGCATTGCTGTTATTCTAGTAGTCAGGGTATTCTTGAGGTGGACAGGAGAAAACAAGAGATTTTTTTTAAATTCTGTGGAATGCAAACCGTCAACAATGATTACGCCGACTGACTTCTAATCGAACGATTCAAGTTGTAACCTGATTTACTTTTAATCTGCGTCCGAACTCAAAGTAATTAGATTCAGAAGATTAATTCTGGAGGTGAAATTGTTTGACTCAGAAGGTTTTTGAATGACCGGTTTCAAACTAAAGTATAGTTACTTCATTGAAAGCCTTCCCCAACCCGGATATTTTGGACATTGCAGATGCCAAACCTACACAGTATACGACCACAAGTGTGCCCATAAAGTTACCCTTTCCACACCAAGTCTTCTTTGGGTCAGTCGTATAGAATCTGACCTGCCTGAAAGGATACGGCTTGAGATTCGCCTACCAAGAAAGCACAGGAACCCTTTCCTTTTATCAATCGTACGCCCCAGCTCAATTATATTTGAATCTTTCGTTAACGTTGCAAATTAATCTTACCGTGGAAATAAGCAAAGCCTCGCACCTTTTCACTGTTCACCTCGCAGGATGTGAATGACAACTACTAAACAACGTGCTACTCGTGCATGAAAGATCATAGCATTGCATCCTGGGCACAAGGTGTCCGCTGTATCGTTCAACCAAACTGTGTTTTCAACTGTCAACCCGTGCACAATAATTCCACCTCTTACTAATCTTTCTTTTTTTTTTTTCTTTTTTTTTTCTTGTCCTATTTTTTTATTATTATTTCAGTGCTCGTTGTTTTGTCATTGTAAATTTACAACGTTGTGAAAATCCTAAAGGCTGCGAAAATTTGCATACATTCAGTGTAACATCCTTACCGATATATTGCTAATTTTTGCGCGAGTCCTTCAAGAGTATCCCATTCAAAACGAGGAGTGTTTATTGAAGAAGGAACACTGTTTTGAGTTTTGTGATCGTTAATTAGTCTTAAATATGTGATAAATTGCAGCGTTACGAAGCTCGAAACAAGTATGCAAACATTGTGGTTACGGTTTATTTCCGTTTATGTTAAACTGAAAATTTATTCAGTGGAGCAAGGATCAATGAAATGGCAAATTTAACCCTATCAAACCCTAATCCCGCTGACACAAATACGCAAATATGCATACCCCAATTCCCTCCGTGCTTGCTGATTGTCACCAAACATTCCTGGATGTGCTTTTTTTTTTGTGAATTCGCGCAGCGAACTTAAAACCCCTTACAATACATAGTGTTATGTGAGGAAGCATGAGAAATTTAACATCTGAGATCAAAAGACTATGACATATCATGTACAGGTCTGATAGTTCCATAAAATGTGTGCACGTGGTATAAATAGAAACTTCGCTTAAATATTTTATAATTTACAATGCAAATTTATTTTCAGGCACAAGATGTCCCTTCTTGATACACTTCCAAATCCATGATGGTGAAACCAGTTTGACTGATCCATCCGTCGTGTGGCCATCCTGATAATGAAAATCAAAGAAAAACAAAAGTTGATAGTGTCTACGCCATGCATGATGGGAAAATGCAAGAATGAGATTACGCTCGGTTTATTCGTTCTAAATCAAAATGTCAAATCTGCAAAGGGCGATAGAGTTTGTTTGTTTGTTGTTTTTCCGACAAGAAAAATCGGGAACAAATAACTACGCACGACAATAAGCTGAGAATACAACGAGAAGATATACACTGTACGTTGTTCACTTCTAAGGATCATTTTTGTTTTGTGTTTCTTAGTTTTGTTTGTTTGCTTGGAGTATGAAGTCTGTGATTTTACGCTAAAAGTTCAGCGCGAAATTTTAATTTGTAAGTGTAGGGATAACAATCAAATTCAAATTTTCACATGAAGCGTGACAGGCAAGTTTGGGGAATCTTTAAGGAAAGAGTTCAGTGTGAAGTATGAATCCTTGTGAAAAATAGGTAGTGTGATGATTTGAATATTACACTCACCTTAGTGTTGCTCACGATATGACTTGCCCTCGTCTTTTCAAACTCACCAACTACATCTCCGTCGTAACTACAGTATGTCACTTAATTAAGGACATTTAACCAAAAACAAAATAATAATAATAATAATAATAATAATAATAATAATAATAATAGTGATAGTACCTTTCTCAATTTGTCCGTCTGCAGGCCAGTAAATCGATTCTTTTCAAGCAAATTGGAGAGTCGCGAAACATAAAAAATTCGTTTCGTGACGACAAGAACAAGAAAGGGGAAATACAACATTGTTAAGAGTACCTTGTTCTTGCTTGGACTACATTTATTACCATCGTCATTCTGCAAGACAGAAAATTGCAAACAGTGGATAAAAGATTTAGCAGCAGGAAAGAATTGTTTTAGACATGCCTTGGATGTCTCAGCCAGAAGAATTTCGTCTTACATTCAATAAGTGAACGTGAGAAAATGAGAGAGGTTTCTAGCTTTTCAAACCCTATCTTTAAGACAAAGGCTTGGGTCAACGATGAATTTCACACTCAACTTTTCGTTAACGTACCTCCGGATGGCTGAATCTCTGCTAATGATCCTCGCTCTTTTGATAGCATTTCGACCCGTACTTGCCGGCTGCCTTCGCCTGGAGAGAAAAGAGAGAAAAAAAGTCGAAGTTATTTCCTTTTTAGCCAAGCAAATGTACGAGTAGATTTGAGAGAAACGACAAATGGAGAATCAGGCTGTTAAAAAATAATCATAAAATAAATTAAACATAAAACATCGACAATAACTGAGATAATTGGCCGATGCTTGCACAGGAGTTGCACGCAAAAACTTCAAAAACAACCAATCAGAAATGCTGCGAGGCTACCTTTATAATTAGGACACTAGAGTAGAATTTTCTGGACCGTGTTTCAACGACAGACGCATACACACACTAACCCGTTTACTTGGAGAACTATTTTCTTCACGGTCAGGCGCTTTTCTCTTTCTTGTTTTTGATTCTGTCTCGTTTGATTCCTTAGAAGGGCTTTCGTTTTTTATCTCCTTGTCCTTTGATGGAGGATCGTTATCATCTTCGGTTGCATCATCATCATCATCATTATCATCGTCATTGTCGTCGTCATTATCCTCAAGGTCAGCCACATCTGTACAAGATAAGTAAAATTATGACTGGGTGAACTAGTGATGATGTCTTTCTTTTCCCTGGAAAAAAAAAAAAGAAACTGTACTAACAACAAACTTCGTTATTCCAAAATAAAAATGTACTTCAGACGTGAAACTCTTCGAAATTACTGCCCAAGGACCACATTTTTTTAATCACTTACTGGTTGAACCTCTCGAGTTCTTGAATAAAACCTATGGGAAAAAAATTATTCTCAGTTACACCTTGAAATTAATACACAAAAACGAAAAAACTAAGGTTACGTAGAAACACAAATATTCAGGTACCTTCAGATGAGGCAGATCGTTTGCAGTTTGCCAATCTTTGTCGTCTCTGATCCGTGTAACTCGTGGAAATCTGATCGATATACCATCAGCAGTGTGTGTCGTTGATTTACTGAATTCTGCCCCAGTTATCTCCCAAACGGGGGATTTCTGAAGAAAACAGACAAATCATTTATAGCTGAGTGTTACTTAGGCTAAGCAAGACTCAAGGCGATGCTGGCCAGCGGTGTCCTGTTATGTTTA